ACCAGGATATCCTCTTTGAAAATAACGACTTTGCTTACCAAAAAAGGATCTGCAGGATACTTTAGATGTAGAACCGGTAGATGCATCATTGACTTGCTTGGGGAAGTTGAGGTGGGTTTCTGAAACCATGCCAGGTTTAGTGAGCAAAACTACTAGTGAAACTCAACTTGATACAAGGAGTGCATATCAAGAGCTGTTTGATTCCTGCTATTGCATAATGATGATACAAGAGGAAACCAGAGAGTTAGCCAAATCAGAATGAAATGTCATGAAGAAAAAATTTGTCGAAGACCTCTAACATTGAGAATAGAGAGTAAAGGAAGATATGGCGTTTTGCTTTGCATGTAAAGGAGGATAAGGCATTTTCCTATGCATGTGAAATATTTGGCAAAGCCAGGTTTGAAAGAAAAAGATCGGAACTGGCCTTGATAGAGACAAACAAACAGTGGTCCAAAATGAGAGGCAGTCATGGAAAGAGCAAATTAGGCAAACCTGAGACTCATTTTAGCTGCGCAGCCTACCTGGCAGCTCTTTGTGAATTTGAGAACTTTGTACATGAGGATAGCCACGTAGATCTTCTTTTTCAAGGTGCATAGAAGACGTTATGACCATGCTGTTTGATTTGGCTAAGTTTTGCTTTTCATAAAAATGATGATGAAGAAAATGAACGCTTTCGACAGATTGTTTATCTGTTTACATTACTCTATCATGCAATCTTGACAGAATATATCATCTTTTTGGGAGAGGAAGTGCACATAACTACTAGTAGACTTTTAACGATAACTTTTCATATAGGGCCAGAGTGATGGCATTGTTTACGTTGCAAAGCGTAAGAGTAGCTCAGTAGGAGTTTTTCTTTCTAAATTTTATTTTTCTATTTCCAAAAATCAAAACATTTTTAAGTAATAATACCAAAAAATTGTTGCTTGTTAAACGTCACTGCTATTGTATTTCCCGCTTTGTGATGAAACTGAAGAAGAGTAACCGTTTTGGGGTACGCTGTTTTAAAGAAGTTTTATCTAAAATGCTTAAAAGTTTATACAAGTTTTAAAAGAATGGCACAAAATTCTCTCATCTATTGCGCCGAAGAGGGAAATCAATTAGATGACACGGATGACCTTTGTCTTAGCTTGCAATCTTCATCAGGCATCTAAACAACTTAAATGCAAGACTGTTTGCTCTTTTGGCAATTACAAGTAAATGCGTGAATAGAAAAAAGGTCACGAAAGCAGTCTGCTCGACGGACTCCAAGGAATAGTTGCGGCGAAAAACCGATCAAAATGTAGCAATTATGAAACACCGAGTTGCAACAAGAATGAACAACAATAAATACACGTAAATTAGTGAAGGCGATGGTGGTGTTGGATTGGTTAATGTGGAATGGTGTGAATGCAGCGCAGAGGTGGAGGAGGGAAGGATGGCGAATGAGAAAGCGCGGGTGGTGGCGGTGGAATGATAATGTAAATAGGATGGTGTACTATAATAACGATTAACGATCAGTGGTTCTGTTCATGCCGTTTGGCGTGAGAGTGTTTGCCAGGCCAATGAGCTACTGCTCTCTGGCTCGTCGAACACTATCTCGTTTGTCGTTGAGTTGCAGGAATGGTGTTATAGTAAGGTCATTGATGAAATGTTCTGGGTTGCAGAAGTGTTCTACGACACCAGATCTGTCTACATTTTTGTTGATAATGTCTCGTCTGTGTTCGTTAAATCTGTCTTTCAGTCGTCTTCTGCTTGTTTGTCCGATGTATCTGTAATGCGTAAATAACGTTAGCAAAGTTGCAGTCCAGTCCTTGTTTTATGTCTTAGTTTTTGTCAGTGATAGTAAAGTTAAAAGAAATGCCTGAACATCATTAAGAAAACCCTAATACGATGCTAAAATTAATTTTTGGGAAAGCATGTAATCGATCATGTATGAAAAATGTTCTTTTCAAAAAGTTAAATGTCAAGAAATACCAACTTTATGGAAAAATAAATCAGAAGATTGGCAACCATTTACAACTGCTGCAAAATAAAACTAAAATCTCGAGGGGTGTATCACTCAATGAAAAGGCGTAGGGGCTTTTTTTGGATTTAAAGATTCTTCGATTTTGGGTCCGGATTTGGGTCCTTTTCCGAATTTTTAGTGAATTTTTTGAATCTTTGTATATTTTGTCTTGACCTTTTCCTCCTTCAAAGTCTTAAAAAAATTGCTGTTAGCTTCTTTATTTCTCCTTGCTTGGCCATCCTGGTTATTGCCAAATGCTAGCAAGCACATTTCCTTGATTCATGCAGTTCAGTGACCAGAAATTATCAAAACAACAGTTATTTTGCCATGTCCTCTAGACTAAGGCAGCCTTTCTACTATCTCGGATTAAAGCAAAAAAGGGTTAAAATTTATCTGTTTTTAGAGCGAGTAAATGGAACGCCAGTTTGCTTTGGATTCGTTCTGATCTCTTTTGACAGTTTCCACTAAGCTTGGTTAAAATGTACCCAGGCTTAAAATGTGTCATCAGCGCTCTAAATTTCAGGTAGATCAGATTTAGATCTTTATAAACAGAAACTGAAGAAGACAGACCTGTAAGATAAATTTGTAAAACGCTGTTGTTGTTGTAAGTGGACCAAAGCTACCCGGAAATGGCATTCCCATTACCCCACAGGTGGGTTAAAAGATACCCGGCAAAAAAATAATCCACCGTTTTTAAACTTGTCCGTTTTTCAAGTGGGTTTGTGGGAACGCAACGCAAAAACGGATAACTTTTAACCCATTTTTGTTTCAAGTCGCGTTAGTGGAAAGATTGCTTTAAATACATAACTCAACGCAACAACTTTATCAAAAGAACAACCATAACTCAGGGTGCACAGGGTTTCAAAAACACAGTCCACCTTTGAACGAGATTCTTCAGAAGATGATAAAATTTGAATTAATTTGACGCACATAGGGAGAGATTTACTAGGCCTTGTGAAAGGTACGACACCTTCTCCCTCTCCTCGATACTTCTGCGTTCCTCGATAAATTTTGCTTCGATTCGTTAACAAGTTTGGATTTGGTATTGGATTCATTAGACATTTCAAAGTGTGACTGGACTTTCAGATTTTTAAATATTTGTGTGGATCTCTGGATTTTTTAACAGATTTTAGAGGATTTTTGCGGATTTTGGGCAGGGTGATAATTTTTGGATTGATACACCCCTCGCTAAGCCCAAGCTAAAAGAATTGAGTTCGTTTCCAATAAAAGCGAGTAGGTAGAAAACTTTCACGAAGCTAGCTTCAAAGAAAAAGTTGCTTATTCTTGAACAGACCAATGTTTAAAATCTTTTTTTCATCAACTGTGACAACGCTTTATCATATTTCAAAAGTACAAATAAAAAAGCCAGTGAAAAAATGGCCTTCTTTCGCTCATATACAAATCAATCATAATGAGCGTCATTCAAGGGGTGAATCAAAGTAAAAGTGGTTCTTCAATCACGGAAAATGTTGCTAACGAGCAAATAAAACTAATAAATTCCTTCTCTTTGCGTATCTGACATTTGTCTTCATTAAAGGCCTTTCCTCCATGATAAAAAGTATTTTTCTTTTCGTCTGTCTTGTTCAGTTAACTTCTTTCGGCATGTGCAAGGTAGTTTGTTGAAAGAAATAAAGTATTATTCCATCACATTTTCAAACTGTTGATTTAAAAAGGATCTGTTGAATGGTTCTCTTTTTTTGGGTTATTAAATTCAGCATTTTTAGCAATACTAGCTCTCTCGTCCACGTAACGGTCAACTGCAATTTTGGAAAGGTTTATACCTTTTATTAAGAGAAAACAAAAGATATTGAGTTGCGAAGGATTTCCAATAAATATTTTGCAAATATGTTTCTCCTTTCAAGTGAGTTCGTGATTTATTAGGTATCAATATCTACAAGTTAAATACAACACAAATAAAAAAGATTTGAAAACAGTAAATAAAAACTTTCCTAGACAAGACTTAGGCGAAGCATGCACTAAGGATTTTAAAAAGTTTGATAAACTTTAGATTTTATACTTGAATTGTCATTGTCATTTTTGTAAACGTTATGCCATTCTTAATGGGATAAAACTTTATTACAAGAATTTTCAATCTCATTTCGCTGGCTTAGTCGTGAAGCGAACCCAAAATAATTGGTCTTACTATATGAACTTCACCTCGTTCTGATTAAATCGGTAATGCTCACACACAAGAACTCTTATGATAATGATGATGGCGATGAATTTTTTCTGGATAGAAGTAGTAACTAAATGTTGAACAGATACTGTGAAATCATAAGGGTTGGAGTGAGGAATTGGGTTAGAAATTTTGCTAAAAATCTATTAATACGTTTCTCGCGAAGAATCAGAAGGCATGCAAGTTTTGTCTGACCTTGGATTCTCCATAACTTACATTTATGATTTGAAGCCTCTTTTTCCAATTGCATCAGTCTATAACACCACTTCGCATTGTTAGTATTTTCAAGCTTTGGTCTCAAAGGTATTTCTTGACGATTTGCTCAAGTTCTAGTAGAAGGTTTGAAATTTCTTGTTACCATTTTCAAGATTGATTATAATACTGTGCATGCCATTGCGAGCAATATGAACATTCAATTTTAATCACAAATTGATGTAGTCTTTGAATAATCTTATCTCTTCCCAAATTAAGTTAACTTTTGCCAATTTTACGTGATCCCTCCTTCCTAAATTACGTTGAAGCTCCTTACAACGTTATAATTCATCCGTCATGGTATGTGGGAATTTAAAAGCAAATCGCAGTGGGCTGAATAAAATTGGCAAATTTTCAGAGTTTTTGGGAATATCCTCCTTTTGCCTATCTTTTACTGTTCGGTCCGTTCGTCCTGTTCCTCATCAAGTATTTTCTATAAAGTTATTTTTAATAAAAATCAAAAAACCAGACGGCCTAGCTTCACTACAAACAACAAACAACTACAAACTGATAGACAAACTCCAAAAAACGAATGCATGTTTTACAAAAAAAACTTACACAGCGATGAAGTGACTAGAAACTCACCTCACGGGATTCGGATTCAACCAATAAACAAAAGAATTCTCCCTTCAAAGTGGTACCCTTTCCTCCGCCCCTTTTCCCAGTCCTTCTCAATATTCTATAAAAAATATAAAAAATAATGCGACAATGCCCTTTCAATAAAAATCCCTTTACGGATTTTACGCAAAATAAATTTAGAATTAGTCAAACTGAAAAGTTTCATGTTGGTGACTTTAGGTCTCTTTAGTCATGTATTCCCGAACGCGGACGGTAAAGTTTTTTATTTTTCACCAAACTTTTTGCCAGGATTGTCTAATGTGGAGAGAAAAAAGAGCAGATGAAAATTTACAGATATTTTACAGAAGTTTAATGTTTTCCAACCCAAAATAGCAGCAATTTAAGAAAGATTGGTTCAATCAAGAATAATTTTATTATCAGCATGTAAAAGAGGTCATGCAGGAGTCAAATTCGGAACTGAGCCTACATCCGATTGAAATTTTTTTTTCAGTTGTCAAGTAGCGATTGAAAATAGGGATTTTCAAGTACATGCACAAAAGATAGACAGCCAATGATTCATAGGTTTGATACATGGCTTTGAGATATATTCACCTCCATTATCAGTCCATAGTGTGAGAAACTACGAGGTCTTCTTTGTCTACATCCTAACGCGACTCGAAGTACTGTCACAATACCATCCAGGGGGGAGTGGGTGTTTTTGGTAACTAGATTTAATGTGTTCCTCTCATGGCACCATCAAAGAAAGCGGTTTCAAAGAAAATTCAGAAACGAGCACTGAAAGTAATAAATGGTAACAGGCACATAAAGGCTGGAAAAATTCAGCAGTAAACGAAATAAAATGCATGCTCTTTATGTTTTTAAAAGATTCATTGCCGTATCGGCACACGCTTTGCAAAAATTACTTGATGAGAGTAAACCACAGCCAGTGTACATGTGTAGCGATAAAGATTTACTCTGTTTACAGTGTTGTTAATTTAAACTGTTTATCTCAGCTTTACATTGCTACATTGCGCCATGCTTACACAGCCTCTCTCGTTTCTTAATCTAGAACTTTCCATCTCCATTACATCATCATTACATCATACCCACACATCCTTCGTCAGCAGATTTTTTTTTAGAGTTAAAGTATAAATAATCGTAGATCAAGTTAGCAAGCTCTCTTGAATTGAAGCAAACAGAACTCGATTTTCTCTACGCGTCTTCTCAACACACCAACGGGTGAGATCGTTTTAATTTACTTTTTGTTAATAGTTCTCAACTGTAGACAAAGGTACGAACTATTAAATTGGTAACCACGACGTTCTTAACGACTTTCGAACACTTGTATTTTGCATATTTACATCTCGTGCATACCTCGTTTTCTGGTTCTTTCTCGTTTCACTTTCATCATGAATGATAACCCAGCCACGACCAGCTCTCCTAGTTCCTCGTCAACACCATCAAGCACCGCTTCTCATGCCGTTGCTGCAGTTAGCATCAAAATTCCTCCATTTTGGCCAAATGATCCTGCAGTCTGATTCGCCCAAGTTGAAGCTCAATTTCTTACACGACAAATCACTGCACAGAACACAAAATTTGCCTATGTCATCTCCTCTCTTAGTCCCGAAATTGCTCAAGAAATCCGTGATTTAATTCTTTCGCCTCCTGCTGATCGTCCGCACGACACTCTAAAAACTGACCTTATCAGACGTACTTCCGCCTCAGAACAACAGCGATTACAACAGTTGCTGATCTCCAAAGAATTAGGTGATAAGAAGCCTTCCCAATTCCTACGAAAATTGCGACAACTTTTGGGTGACAACCCCTTAGAAGACGGCCTCTTGAGACATCTTTTTCTCCAACGTTTGCCGACAAATGTAAAACTCATTCTTGCCTCCACTCCAGACACTGTCTCCATAGATGACTTGGCCTCGCTCGCGGACAAAATCTTGGACGTTGCTCCTCCGCAGCACTCCCTGGCAGCCATATCTCCATTTCCAGAGTCTTCTGCACGAAAAGAGATTGAAGACTTGCGACTCCACGTAAACAATTTGACCACTCAATTGACCAATGTCATTAGTCAACTACAGATCTCGTCTCGCTATCGTTCTCGCTCTCGCTCACGTGGTCGCAGTCCCCCACGCTCTGGTTCACGTAATTTCTCCCGCTTTTCCACCTCATCAGGCCCATTTTGTTGGTACCATCAACAGTTTGGATCCGCCGCTCGCAAATGCAATCCACCATGCTCATTTAAGGCCTCTGCTTCTCTTCACCAGTCGGAAAACTTCCAAGCCAGAGACTAGCGGCGACAAGTCCAACTGGCCATCAACACAACAGTCGCCTCTTTTACATCACAGATCGTACAACTGGTACACGTTTTCTCGTGGATACTGGCGCTGATGTGAGTGTTTTTCCTCTAAGTCCTGCTGAAAAACGTCATCTTTCTTCATTAATTCTCCAAGCTGTCAACCAATCCACCATCTCCACTTATGGTGAAAAATCTATGACATTAGATCTCGGCCTTCGCCGTACGTACAGATGGATATTCATTGCTGACATTCCAACGCCAATTCTTGGTGCTGATTTCCTTGCCCACTATGGACTCAAGGTTGATGTTCGTAATCGCACCCTCATCGACACTACTACCAGCCTCAGTATTCGTGGTATTTCTTCTTCAGCATCCTCACCCAGCCCTGTGTTTTGTTTTCCAGCTGCAATACCATACAGCTCGCTGCTCAAGAGATTTCCGGATATAACCCGTCCCTCCTACAACGAAGCTACTATCAAGCATTCAGTCACTCATCACATTCGCACAACTGGCCCACCAGTTTTCTGTCGTCCACGACGCCTAGCTCCTGACCGCTTGAAGATTGCAAAAGCCGAATTCGACCATATGCTCCAGCTTGGAATCATTCGCCCCTCTGAAAGGAGCTGGTCCTCGCCCCTTCATATGGTTCCAAAGCCCACATCTGGTGACTGGCGTCCCTGTGGAGACTATCGTGGTTTGAACAATGTAACAGTACCTGATCGCTACCCCATTCCTCACATACAAGATTTTTCCTCTTCACTCTACGGCAAAACCATATTCTCCAAAGTCGACTTGGTACGTGCTTATCACCAAATTCCTGTCCATCCAGAAGATGTATCCAAAACTGCCATTTCGACACCTTTTGGACTGTATGAATTTATTCGAATGCCTTTCGGCCTACGTAACGCTGCTCGGACATTTCAAAGATTCATTGACGAAGTTCTACGTGGCCTCGATTTCGTTTATGCGTACATCGACGACCTTCTAATTGCCAGTTCGTCTGAATCGGAACATCTCCAGCACCTGGAACTTCTCTTTACCCGTCTTTCCGAATATGGTGTCGTTCTCAACCCTTCCAAATGCATTTTTGGCTCCACCTCCTTAGACTTCCTTGGTCATCACATCTCACCAGAAGGCATTTCACCTTTACCAACCAAAGTTCAAGCCATAACAGACTTTCCTCCACCACAGTCCACTCGTCAACTGCGTGCATTCTTGGGCCTCGTCAATTTTTATCGACGTTTCATTCCTCAATGTGCCGATATTCTACAACCATTAACTGACTTGTTGTCACGCCAACACAACAGAAACAAATTTCATCTCAACGCTGACGCCTTAGCTGCTTTTGATGCCATCAAAACAACACTTGCCAAAGCAACTCTCCTCACTCATCCGTTTCCAGATTCTTCTTATTGCCTGATGATTGACGCCTCTAAAAATGCAGCTGGCGGTGTCCTCCAGCAACAGAGACAGGGTATCTGGCAACCTATATCCTTCTTCTCTAAACGTTTGCAGCCATCCGAAGTAAAATACAGTACTTTCAGTCGTGAGCTACTTGCGATATATCTCGCCATTCGCCATTTTCGTCATTTCCTAGAAGGACGTAAATTTCACGTGCTAACAGACCATAAACCACTCACCCATGCTTTAGCCTCTTCATCGGACCGATATTCACCACGCGAAACCCGCCATCTCGACTACATTTCACAGTTCACCTCTGACATACGCCACGTCAAAGGAAATGACAACCCCGTCGCTGATGCATTATCTCGCCTGGACCTTAACGCGGTTTATACCTCGTCACCACTCGACTTCACTCTCCTGGCAGAAGCTCAACAAAACGATCCAGAAATGGTTTCCTTAAAGTCATCTTCTTCCCTCTGCCTGCAAGATGTTACCTTGCCATCGAATGCTGGTACTATACTTTGCGACATGTCTACATCCACACCTCGTCCTTATGTACCACTTTCTTATCGCCGTCACATCTTCGATCAGCTCCATAATCTTTCACACCCTGGTATACGTGCATCCCAGAAGCTCATCACAGAAAGATTCGTCTGGCCTAGCATCAATAAAGATGTCCGGAACTGGTCACGTTCCTGCAATCAGTGTCAAGCAGCAAAGATTCACCGCCACACTACAGCACCAATTGGAACGTTTCTTCAACCGGATGCTCGTTTTGATCACCTTCACATTGATCTTGTCGGCCCACTTCCACCATCACAAGGTTTTCGATACCTTCTTACCATCATTGATCGCTTCACTCGTTGGCCTGAAGCAGTTCCTCTCACTGACATCACTGCTGAATCCGTGGCTCGAGCTCTCGTGACACACTGGATCTCTGCCTTTGGTGTTCCTTCCACTATAACAACCGATCGAGGTGCCCAGTTTGAATCTTCGTTGTTCTCTCATCTCACCAAGTCCCTTGGCATCAAGCGAATCCGCACCACCGCTTACCATCCATGCTCCAATGGAATGATAGAACGCTTCCACCGACAGCTGAAAGCCTCCCTCAAAGCCCACCATGATTCAAATAAATGGACTGAACTCCTACCAATCATTCTTCTCGGCATCCGTTCCACTGTCAAAGCTGACTTGAACTGCACACCTGCCCAACTTGTTTATGGTACCACTCTTCGTTTACCTGGACAATTTCTCACAACAACCTCTACACTAGCAGACCTTGATCCAACAAATTATTCTCATCGCCTGGAACACGCAATGCAGACTATCAAGCCAATATCGCCTCGCCTTCAAGTTAGAAAATCACACATTTCATCAGACCTCCATACCTGTACACATGTTTATGTACGCATTGACGCTGTTCGCCAGCCACTACAACCTCCATACACTGGTCCATACAAAGTTCTCGCCCGCCATGACAAACATTTTGCTTTAGAGATACGGGGCAAGCGTGAAAACATCAGTCTTGATCGCCTCAAAGTAGCATACCTTGATACCGACATCTTGCCTTCGCTGCATCACGAGGTCGCGCTCTCCTCCGCATCTGTTGAACAAGCACCTCCGAACATTTGCATGCAAGCAACATCCCGCACTACCCGCTCCGGACGAACAGTACATTTTCCTGATAGACTCGTATATTGACAGTTCATTTTCTTATATAGCTTGAATATTTTGTTTTGTTTTTTGTAATCTATTAATCGAATGCTTCTCCTCCGCTTGCATTCTAGGGGGGGAGCTATTGTAGCGATAAAGATTTACTCTGTTTATAGTGCTGTTAATTTAAACTGTTTATCTCAGCTTTACATTGCTACATTGCGCCATGCTTACACAGCCTCTCTCGTTTCTTAATCTAGAACTTTCCATCTCCATTACATCATCATTACATCATACCCACACATCCTTCGTCAGCAGATTTTTTTCTAGAGTTAAAGTATAAATAATCGTAGATCAAGTTAGCAAGCTCTCTTGAATTGAAGCAAACAGAACTCGATTTTCTCTACGCGTCTTCTCAACACACCAACGGGTGAGATCGTTTTAATTTGCTTTTTGTTAATAGTTCTCAACTGTAGACAAAGGTACGAACTATTAAACATGTGCCAAAACAAAGAATATTGTTTTGTTTTAAGTCAAATCCGAAGCAGGCAAGAAGGCTTTTCCTCTAAAGGAGCAAAGATCTTAAATGAATAAACGGACGAAATGAAGAGTAAAACTTCGTTCTTAAGATTGAAGACTTTTTTGTAAATACTTTATTCTTGAGTTTTGAAATTTTATCTTCCTTATGCAAGTAACTATTTTTTTTTAATTTATCATCCTTATGCAAGTACAGTATAATCTGGTTATAACGTACTTTAAGGGACCAGCGTATTAAGTACGTTATATCCGAAGTGCGTTGTAACGAGGGTAAGTAAAAAATGACTAAAACCAAGCACACCTTTTGCCAGGACCAAGCACACCAGTACGTTATATCCAAAAGTACGTAATAACCGAGTACGTTATAACGGGATTCTACTGTAACTATTTCTTTTAATTTATGTGTACTTTAAAGCTTTGTCAATAACAACACGTTGTTGCTGAAAAAATTATTATGAAAGTTTTGAAGGTCGCTGTTCCCCGAAAAAGGTCTATAGCCACTGAGCCAATTCACGTAACGAAAAAAATATAAAAAACATCAAAGATAACAAAAATGATATTAAATGAAAACAGCAATTAATCTTTCCATGATAAATCATTTCAAAGTTTCTGTTGACAAAGAGGATATTGAGGCTGAATCAAGGCCGGGGACAGAAAGGGAGAAAACAGTTTATTTCAAGAAACGAATCAGTATTCTATCATAGTCAACAAACAAATTGACAAATCAGGAAAGTTTTGGTTAACAAAAGAGCCTGTTGTATTTTTAAACAGTAAAACTATCAGAAAAAATAACTAGCAAAGTTTTAGATATATAATTTCTTTATTCTAGCTGTTGCTTATGTATTCTTCAAAAGGTATTAGTCTGTTATAGAAATAAGTGAAGACTATTATACAAAATGATACAATGGAAGCTATTGTAATGAATACATATCTTGGTCCCAAATGTTCGTAAATATACGCCACCAACAATGGTGTTGTGATCCCGGAAGTACAACCAGCTAGAGACAGCGCAGCAAGATAAAAACCCTGAGAGAAAACGAAATTGTTTGCTTCAGTCTTCCAAATTTTTTCCAACGATCAAAATAAAGAATCAGTCTTTATATATGTTTATTTCAAATATACTTCTTTTATAGTAACTGTAGATAGGAGATGTTTTCACGATGTTTATCTTTCATTAAATTGGGCAGTTGAAAGATTATATGTTATTTTGAATGAGATCTTTCGCCTGAACTGACTCACCACATTAGCAACGATTTTTGTTCAAAAAAGGTTTTGTAAGGTAGTACCTGCTTTCTTGGACCAACAATTTTTGAGTAAAGTCCAAATGTAACTAAATATGGTAATGTGTAGCCAATCAAAGCCATCACTTCAGCAATTATCATTTGACCAAGGTGTATTTTTGGTGCATTTGTGCACCACTTGTACTTTGCTGGGCAACCTTCTTTCAAACGAAATTGCGTCAGATTTCCGACTTTGATGTACTCTGAAATTGAGAAGATGGCATTCGGTTATCTTGCTTTTGAGTAAGATACAGACATTTAATACTATTGCTGGGATTTGAGAAATTATGGTAGGAAAATTCACGATTAGAAAAGGAAATCGCATCGGAGCTCACCTGTTGTTTGGAGAGTTGGATATGTGTTTCCCCACGGTAAAAAAATGATAAAGCCTACCAATGCAATTGTATGTCCTACCAAAATCACTTGCCTTTCACTCATTCTAGATCAAAGCAAAAGTCGCAAAACAGTTATTTAGAACTTTTGATAAGATGTAATTCAGGATCTAATTTGAAGGCGTGAAAACTTCCTCATTACATGCATTAAATAGAAAAGTTATAAAGATGTTTATTTTTACTTTCTGTGTTATTTAGATTGTCAAAAGTAGTTTTCCAATTTTCTCACAAGTTTACCTTAAATCTCGCAAGTTAGGAATGTAATGCAGATTCTTCTTTGATAATAAACAATGGATTTTCTCTTCTTGATTGATAAAAGACCAAGAAATAGGTTGGTAAATTTCAACTTGTAAATGTAAATATAAATTTGTCTATAAATAAGTACTAAAGCGTTACCTTTTAGATGAGCACGTGACAAAAGCAAGTGATATAATTGCAATAGGTCCAAGGGAAGATAACAGGATGCCAGCGTTTAAAACTGCCGCGCGTTTTGTCATTGCTAGTTCATCTGCCATCAGCGGAGCTGTCAGCCTGAAGGGTAAAATGAGCAACAAAAAGTTTAATTTTTGTCATCAGTGCTGAAGTTTCCAGAAAAAGTCAAAGGAGCATTTGCAAGAATTTATTCAAATGTAAAAAGTTTTAAATAGGCGGTACATTTGCTGCATACTTCAGGAACTTTATAGAACTTGAAAAACCTATCTGACCATTGACACAATGTCGTGAAAATGTGCATGCTTAGTATTTATATCTCTTGTTAAGTGCACATAGTAATCAGGGTACACTTTGAATGAGAATAATTGAGGTGCAAAAACAAATGCAATGTATCATTGATGGAGGATTTGATCTAGTATAGTGGCCTGGCTTTATTCTCAAAAAATGCACAATTTTAAGGATAGTT